GGAGAATTGCTTGAGTCCAGGAGTTTGAGACCAGCCTGGGCCACATAGTGAGACTTCATCTCTACAAAAAAAAAAAAAATTAAAAAATTAGGGCTGGGCACAGTGACTCAAGCCTGTAATCCCAGTACTTTGGGAGGATGAGATGAGAGGATTGCCTGAGTCCATGGATTTGTGACCATCCTGGGCAAGTTGGCAAGACCTTGTCTCTACAATAAATAAAAAAATTAGCCAGGTGTGGTGGCACACATCTGTAGTTCTAGCTACTTGGAAGGCTGAGGCAGAAGGATCACCTGAACCCAGTGGGTCGAGGCTGCCGTGATTGTGAGTGTGCCACTGCATTCCAGCCTGGATGACAAAATGAGACTCCATTTCAAGACAGGAAGGAAGGAAGGAAGGAAGGGAAGGAGGGAGAGAGGGGGGGAGAGAGAGAGAGAGAGAGAGAAAGAGAGAGAGAAAGAAAGAAAGAAAGAGTAGCTGAGTGTGGTGCACACCTGTAGTCCCAGCTACTTTGGAGGCTGAGGCAAGGAGGATCACTTGAGCCCAGGAGGTCAAGGCTGTGGTGAGTGGTGATCACACTGCTACACTGGGCAACAGAATGAGACTCCAACTCAATAAATAAATAAATAAATAAAATAACCAGGTAACAGAAAACAGAGTGACTGAGGGTCAAGGTAACAAGGAAACTTACTTTTCAGTATCTACCTTTTATACTTTTTTATTTTGTACCGTGTATAGGTATTACCTTGAAAAAAAAAAACAATTTAAAAGAGCAATTAACAAAGACCCAAGTGAACACGAGATAAAAGCTGCTCAGTATGTAGCATCAGCAGTCGATAGTGGACTCTTGGGTGGTGGAGTCTTGTCCTGTTCTGGAAGACTCAATGACTTACCTGTTCAACTCAGTGGAAAGCTCTATGACTGCAGTCTACACCTGTGCAGTGTGAAGGTAGACATTCAGAAGCAGTTATCTGCAATTTAGAAGGTTGGCGTCTTCCTAAAATAGCACAAGGGGAATCACTTGAGGGAACGCATATTTGCGAATTTGATGAAAAGGTCATTAGAAAACTGATTCAGTCATTCCAGGAGACATGCTAATACCCAGAACCTGAACCTTGAAAGGCAGGCCCACCTGTCTGACATTCTCCAATCCCTATTTCTTGCAGCAGCCAGACCCCACCGCTGCTGCTTCTAAACCCTATCCTTTGTTCAAAAACCAGCATTCGTCTGAACTCCCTTGAGAACTTTTCCCTCTGTTCCCATGCATGACCCCGTTGCAAATCTCCTCTAAAAGGCAACAGCTAAGATTTCCTGAGCACTCAGTGCTTTGTGTACATCTCTTAAGTATTAAGTCTGACAACTTCATAAATGACAAAACTGAGGACCAGAGCAGTTAAGCAATTTGTCCAAGGTCACACAGCTAGGAACAGATAGAGCTAGGATTAGAACTCAATTTTAGTTGGGCACAATGGCTCATGCCTATAATCCCAGCATCTTGGAAGGCCAAGATGGGAGGATCACTTGAGCCCAGGAATTCAAGACCAGCCTAGGCAATATAGCAAGACCTCATCTCTACAAAAAATCAAAAAATTAAGCAGGCGTGGTGGTGCTACCTGTATTCCCAGCTACTTGAGAGACTGAGACAAGAGGAGAGACTTGGGCCCAGGAGGTCGGGGCCACAGTGAGCCATGATCCCACCACTGTACTCCAACCCCTGGGCAACAGAGTGAAATGCCTGCTTAAAAAACCAAATAAACAACAACAGCAAACTCAATTTAAGGCCAAGTTCTGCCCTTGATCATTCACTATTATTCACTCAACTCAGGCCTGGCATAGGGGCTCATGCCTGTAAATCCAGCATTTAAGGAGGGTGAGGGGAGAGAATTGCCTGAGCCCTGGAGTCTGAGACCAGCCTGATCATCATGGTGAGACTTCTTCTCCACAATAAACCAAAAACTAGCTAGGCATGGTGGCACATGCCTATCTATAGTCCTAGCTACTCAGGAGGTTGAGGCAGGATTGCCTGAGCTCAGCAGGCTAAGGCTGCAGCAGCCATGATCATGCCATCGCACTCTAGCCTGGGTGACAGAGTGAGACTTAACTTAAAAAAAAAAAAATTCACTTGGCTCAATATAAGCAGTCTAGTATAACTTGGATTCCTGTGAGGGATTACAGCTCTCAAAGCTCTTATCCATCACTTGGAATACGTTGCTGAAAATAAGCTAAGTCTGATTCCTAGGAGATATCATAATTATTTGCTGATGAAAGTAATGACTGAAGCCCAGAGCTCAGAGTAGGTCTCAGAGTATACAGTAAGGAGCTATACATTTAATCTAGTGTGAAATCTGACTTTTATGCAACTTTTGGTGTCCTAAAACATGCGCTGGTTGAGAATATGTAAAGACAAAATCCAAATTAGAAAGTGCAAAGCAATGTGTTTGGTCGAGATCCCACTCTGCCTTTTATTTATTTATTTATTTATTTATTTATATTTTATTTATTTATTTATGAGTCAGAATCTCACTCTGTTGCCTGCAGTGGAACAATCAAGGCTCACTGCAGCCTCAACCTCCTGGGCCTCAGGTGATCCTCCTATCTCAGCCTCCCGAGCAGCTGGGACTACAGGCACACACCGCCATGCTCAGCTAATTAAAAAAAATTTTTTTTTGTAGAGATGAGATCTTGCTATATTGCCCAGGCAAGACCAGCTTCTTATATAGATAAGAAAACAGAAGGTCATAAAAATGACCTCTCAAGGACCAGAGCAAAATTTGAATCCAAACCTGTGTGACTCCAGAGTCAGGACAATATCTGCCTATCCTTAAATCAATGCCAAGTCAGAGGATATATCTTGAGTTTTGTGCTTTGTGATATCCCTGATTTCTTCTGTGAGAACTCCTGGCCTGTGCAGAGTAAATGTCAGGGTTGGAAATGCAAGTGAACTGGCAAAGAAAGATACTAGTAGTATTTGGATACTCACAGCGTGGAAAGTGTCCTCAGGAACATGCCATCTGTTCTGGCCATTTTCTCTCTGCATTTTCCATGAGAAAGGAAGGCAGAAGAGGTGTCATCATGTTTATTTATTTTTGGTTTTTCATACTGGTAAGTGATCGTAATCATTAGTTTTACTGAGAAAATGGAAGCCCTGAGATAAGTGACTTGCTCAAAGCTTGCTGACTGTGCAGTGAGGCTGAGCTGGGATCAGTCCAGGATGGCCGGTGACCATGCCTTTCCCAGGTGGCACTGCTGCACACAAAGGTTCTTGTCTGTTCCACACACACGTCCAGTCCCTTATCAGATGCCAATAAAAGGCTGACAGGGCAAAGAAAAACCAGACAGCTGGGGAACTTTGGAAGAGTGGCCTTTGATGCAGTGAGGCTCAAGGCCTCAAATCTTGGCTTTACTACCTATGCGATGATGTAAACAGTTAACAATACCCTAATTCAGTCAACATTTATTAAGAAACTCCAGTGTGTCAGATAAGCCATTACTGGAGTCATACAAGGCTGTTGGATACATTTTATTTTTGAGGCAGGGTCTTACCCTGTGATCCAAGCTAGAGTGCAGTGGCATGATCACAGCTCACTGCAGCCTTGACCTCCTAGGTGATCCTCCTGCCTCAGCCTCCTGGGACTACAGGCACATGCCACTACACCCAGCACACTTTTTTATTTTTCGTGAAGATGAGGTCTATGTTGCTCAGGCTGGTCTCAATCCTCCTGCCTCAGCCTCCCAAAATGCTGGGATTACAAATGTGAGCCAACATGCCCCACCGGTTTGATACCTTTTTTTTTTTTTTTTTTTGAGTTGGAGTCTCACTCTGTCGCCCAGACTGGAGTACAGTGGCTGCTCCTGGTCACTGCAGCCTCGACCTGCTGGGATCCGGCGATCCTTCCGCCTCAGCCTTCCAAGTAGCTGGAACTACAGGCGCGCGCTACCACGCCCGGCTAATTTTTTGATTTATTGTAGAGATGAGGTCTCGCTGCCCAGGCAGGTCTCGAACCCGCAGGCTCAGGCAATCCACTCACCTCAGCCTCCCAAAAGCGCGGGATTACAGGCTGAGCCACCGAGCCTGGCTCAGTTTGATATCTTTTTTTTTTTTTTTT